CCTAATCTAAACGAACTTAACGATTTTTGTACGATCACGTGATCGAAAAAAATTGGTGGCGATGCTGGGGAAGATTTTGATTGGTCGCTAATCACGTGGATGCATTTATAGAGGAAGTTTTTATAAGTGGGCCAGGCAATTAGCGTGCACTTACAGAATTAAGAACGTGCATTTATCTATAAGTCCTACCATGGGACTGGACTTATATCATGCATTTAGGAGGTGCTGCATTTTGGGAAAGTGCATTTGGGGGTCTGACTGCAACAATATTTCCTATCATTTTTCGCATAAACAGGTTAGTCAAATACGATTTCTCAGCCCAGTGTGTATTCTGCCCTATAAGAAATGTGGTCCGGGTTGTAGTACGGGTAGGTTTCTAGAATGCATAAAATGGCACGGTAAAAATGACACGGAAATTACGGCAAGGGATGACAGATTATATCACGTCATATGTACATTGCACACGTGTTGGCTCGTTTTGCGTATAGAGAAAATCAACAACTAATTTTTATTAAAAAAAGTGCAATATTCATAATTTCACCGATGAAGCTGCTCTGAATATCTTAACAAAAAAAATTTTACTTTAGTTTGTTTATATTATACGTATTGATTACTAATGTATATTTTATGTTTTAATCACTAATCCTATATTTGTATTTGTTGTTGCAGTGGTATGTGAATTTACGTATCATCCGATACAACTAGTAAACTTACTGCAAAACCCGAGCCATTTATGATTCAATTGGCATATGCTTCCACACGGTCCGAATCCTACCAACTCGGACCATACCCGTGCAAATCCGGATCTTGATTCGTGCCACAAAGACTCGCAGTGCATTTTTCTTATAGGGTATATGTTGTATGATGAGAATACTTTTCATAACTGCAACTGAATATTTCAGCCTTAAGTGCCCTATATTGTATTACCTGTAGAAATAAGTACGTATGTGCGTACATATACGCAGCTATACAGATAATCTATACTAAACAGTGTGTCACTTCACTTTGTAGAAATAAGTAAATGCTTCATTTAGATGTAAATCCCATTTATTTATTTTGAGTGGTTTGTTCGTGATATTGCCGTATTTGACATTTAAAAATGGTTATACAATAGTCACGAACGTCAAGCCTTTGAATTCGGTTACACATGGCTAGAAAACTCTATTTTGTGCACCATATGCATATGCATGCATAACATTTGTACAAAATTGTCTATAATGAGTAATTGCCTTTTAAATAATTACCCGATATGAAATTTTATGTTTTAGCGTTAGTAAATTCACAGTATACATAAAAGCAAAAAAAAGTGACTTTTGGAGCGCCACAGAACATACGTACGTACGTACATAGGTTGCAGATATTTGTAAGACTACTGGCCGCTTGCGAGTGAAATGTACAAATCCTACAAAAAAAAAAACAACTATCAGTGAATATTGCCTTGTCAGTCCATTATATGTGAAAGCGAAAAACACTAAAAAGTGATGTTTAAACCTGCCTCGCACTAATTGAAAATGACTATAAAGGGCATTTTACAATATTATCTCATTATTTATCTATAACTCAATACTAATGTTCTAACATGTTCTTTAATTTTATTTTAAGTTTTCTTTTTTGTTTGTATCAATGCAGAAATAAGTATTTTTTTAAATGCCTTTCAATTACCGTTAGACTTGATATTGGATTACATAATAATATTCTAAGTTAAAAATAACCATATTTCAAATATACATTACAATATACATGCAGATACTGATTATAATTGCTCTTATCATTACTAATATGTAATACATTCGCTTTAGTGTTCAGACCTCTAGATGTTAGATCATGTGAAGGATAACTGTTTATTTAACTTCATAATATTCTTGATTTGATTTAGAAATAAATATATAAGTATTTATTATTTATGATCAGAGTAGTGAAATTAATAATATTTCCTAACATTGTTCGTGTTAAAGACATTAAATCATTTTTGTTTTATGTAAAAATATCCTACAATGGAATATTTTTATGATGTGAGTAACATTGTTGATTTTATAAGTAATTCCAAAAAAAGTAACTAGAAAATTGCTCTATTTGGAAGTTTTTCTAACTGAGAGGAATTAAGAAGTTTACTGGTATATATATTAATACTTGCTAGTTGCTCGCACTCTGAATTCACAGAGCACCATTAAAATTATTACGAAGAATTCTATCTATTTTTTTATCTCGAAAAACGTTTAACATGTCCGAATCAAAGGAACTAAAAATTAATGAATTTACCAAAGAAAAATATATTAAAATGACGAATAAAACCAAACAAATGCCTATTGAAAATGGTAATACTTTGGAACTTTGGAATCTGTTGGGATTCAGTTTTTAATAAATCTAACAAAGTAACATTTTAATAAACTTCAGAACTTTTGAACTCACTAAACATTAAAATTGATACTATCAATGAAAGCGTGGTTGGTCTTTTTGAATATATCCTTCAAAGGTTAGCAGACTTTGATAAAAGAATTCAAGATCTTGAGGAGGCGAATCTTAACCGAATTGCTAGTCACTCTGCTGGATTAGACGAATGTTCCAATCTTAAAACTACTTCGGACGAACCTAATTCAATTCACATTGATGAATTTCTTGAAAACCTTAATAAAAGAATTCAAAATCTTGAGATGACAAATCTTAACCCTAACAATCCATAAAATTTTTTTTTCATGCTTTCAAATAAAAATTGTCGTATTCTAATCATTTTCTTTTTTATTTTCTTTTTATTATAAATGACTGCAGCCTATTATAACAAAGAGGAAAATTTATGCTCAGGTTTCCATTTACATTTGCATTTTTTGATTCTCGAAACGCTGTTCTAATTTCCTTTATAAATTCATTAACTCCCAAAAAAATTAATTCTCAACATAAGGCAATTATTTACAGTCTGGCTAAATGGGTAATTATTTTTGAATCCAAACCAAAATATTA